AACTGTGGCGCTAAAACCGTAATGTCAAAAGCGCGTCGACAACAGTGCGCCGACAACAGCGCGCCGGCAGAAGCGCAATTTAAGGTAAGGTTTAGGGTTAGGTTTAGGGTTACGTTACAGCGCGCTTCTGTTGGCGCGCTTTTGTCGGCGCGCTTCAGGGCTCATTCGTCGCACGGTTTTGTCGGCGCGGTTTTGTCACCGCGGTTTAGTCAGGCGCGCTTTTGTTGTTTGCGCATTTGTGGTGGAACCGCAATAATAACCAATATGTATTTTGATGGTAAGTTTTGGAAATACGTGTTCAGCATTATTTCAGTACCATGCAGATAATTTCCATTCCACTAGATGGAAGCATTTCATAATATACTGCTACAATTTCTTCCCCGTCTTTTAAGGAGCGCTAAGGATTTTTCTCCTAAAAGTAAGCAATGCTCTGAGAAAATCATCTCTTCCAGCCTCCAACTCTCTCCCAAACTGAAAAAGGTCTATTTTTAAAACGCCCACACCCTAGCCTAGTCCTTAAGAAAGAACATCGAAATCCTAAAATTGTTGATGATAATTATATGATTGACCGTGTTTTCAAATGTTTAAGGAGAAAGGGAATAGTTGAGTTATCTGAGGTAGCACCAATCCAGTGGTGGTTCTGGATCCTGTTGCAACCGGTATGCTTCAACGGGGTCCGGTGTCCACCATGTGGACGTGTGCATGCATACTTACTGCCTGTGATGCTCCAGCTGCTCAGTGGAGCGTTGCGTAAGCGCCGTACGCTCCGTGCGCGAAACTCCCAATCGGCTCAAATAGTGGTTAGGAGAGCGGGTGGGTGGGCCCTCCAGAGCACTGTACCGGAATGGTATCTGGTGCTCCCAGCAGGCACCGGTACGCCTGTACCGGTACGTACCAGTCATATCCCACCACTGCACGTGTTGTGTCCTTCCGACGCAGCCGGCAGGCGGGGCCAGAGTCGAAGGCTCCTGATTGGCGCAGGTGCGCCTGCCGGCTGGCGGGAAAATCACTGGCCGCCAATTGGCCAGCCGCCTGACAGCTGTCAAATATAAATAGCTGTCAGGCGGCCCGCGCGCTGTCCGTGTTCTGAACTTGTTCGTTGCTGTTGCCTGTTAATAAAGACGTTGAACTTTACCTCATGCCTCGTACCTTAAAGCACCAGTCTCAAATGCAAAAATAATTTTAGTTTTAATAATAATAACCAAATGTTCATTTACTAGCACATCATTTGGATATTTATTTGTAAAGAAAAACTAAAGGAAGTGTTATAAATGGAAGCCGCATCAGGAAAGCCAAAGTAAAAATTCTTGACTGTAAGAAATATCATGTTTGGCCATTTCCCAGGAAAACAGCTTCTGATGAGGAGCGACGTGTGGCTAAAAATTCCACAAGATTTAGCTTGTCAATTTCACTGCCCCATGGTTGGAGATGACAACGTTCTCTCTAGCCAAAATAAGGATTTGCACATTTTTTATTTGGATACTAGAAATGCTTATGGATGTTTTGATTTTCTTTTCCAAACTGCAAACTGACTTAAGGTCCTACCGAGTGCTTTTCTGGACATTAATTTGAGGTACAAAAATAGTTGAAGATCTCATATCATTTTGTCAGTGGGCGATAAATCTTGGTTGACAACTGTCATTGTAAAAGAAACAGCATCTTTTATATTGATACAAATGTTAGCTTATTTTCAGCATTGGAATGTCTGAAATGAGAGCCCATCATCATAAATTTCCCTAAGCTGTTGCCCTTCTGATGAGAGTATTGAAATTCTCAGAATTTTCTAGATGAAATTAAGGAGAAAGGGAACATCTGAGTTGTCAACCAGCTCCAAAGGCTGTGAATTTCACCAAAGATTAACAACATAATAATAATACAGTCTTAGTAAATTATTTGATAGTGTTGTGGGAATTAGTTATTAAGAAGAGTGATGGCATTCGGGGAAAAAACTATCCTTGTATCTAGTTGTTCTGGTGGGGGGGCAAGGATAGTTGATGCGCCAAATATAGCCTCTCAACTATCAAACGACAACCCGGCCTTCATGTGGTGCCCCCTGTTCCTACCAATCGGGCTCTGT